ATAATCTAATCTAATTAAAATAGTTTAATAATTCAGCTCAGACTCACCACAGGGCCTCCTCTCTTTCTTAAATAAATGCCCTCAGAGAGCAGCGCCTTTGCCGTCTCTTCAAACAGCAGCTCAGGTTTGATATCCCCTCTGCTTTCTAATTCACTGTACTTCATTACAAACCTGAAAAAAAACATCAGTTACACAATAAGCAAATTAAAATGCACAAATAAATTGTCATAATCACACTTTCAGTTTTTCATCATGACTTACTTCTGACATGATGAAATAAAGTTTGGCATGAGGGGCTCAAAAGCTTTTGGTCCATTGCCATACACCTCAAAGAACTTCCTACAACCACAGACAAAAAAGCAAACAAACAACAATTTCAGTTTGCATGCAGCTAATGTAATTTAATTATAACATTTGCTTTATTAAACAATAAATGCATTTTGTTAGTTGAAAATACGTTAAATATTTTAAACATTTTTATTTCAACTACACTGTAAAAATTCTATGATCATATAGTCATGACAGCACATTTTATAAGTTACGCAAGCTGTTTTAGGTCAGTTTAACATAATATAAATTTAATGAACTCATAAGATTAATTTGATTTAGATTAATTTAAGGGCACCGGGATTTTTTGTGTAGTTGTTTAGGAAATACTAAACAGCACATATTAATTTAGCTTAAATTGGTAAACATCTTAAAAAAATAAACTCTCTTGTGTGGGTGATTCTAGAATTGTGGGTGCATTTTGCGCCTCTTTGAGTCTTTTTAAAAAACAAAAACGTGACTCAAACAGTTTTGCATATTAACACAAATCTGAGGTATATCAAAACAAACCTGTATGTGTATTTACATTTTGGCTAAATATATGGCTAAAATATAAACGCTTCCAATTTTTGATGGTCTCTGCCTCCTAAATGATACATTAATGAAACATTTAAGTGTAATTTTCATCTTTTTTGTGTGCGTTTACTCTTCTAAGCTGAATAAATATTTGCATGAAACAAACATTTTCTGTATTATTTGTCATTTCTGTAATTAAAAAAGAAATTTGTGTTTGTTCTTATGTCCTGGTCAACTCTGTTGGTTATAAATTGGTTGTGAACAGCATCATTTTTAAAGCTCCGATAGTAAAAATATGTGACTGGCTCCAAGTGTTGCCACTTTCACTGGAAGGAAACTAGACACTGAGGCATATCATTATTATTCTTCTCATTTATTTGTACAAAATCTTTAGTATACAGCAATTGTAGATTAATTATGCTTTATTGGATATTTACTGTGAATCTCTCATACACTTTTTAAAAACAATAATATGATGAAAATGCGTGAAACAACAGAAAATGTCAACAAAAAGTTGAATCAAATCAAATGTTCCCCATCACATTTAAGCATTTTGCATAATTGTACATGAATGGATTCATACTTACTTTAAGTTATACATATGTTGCATGTCATTCTAGGTTTAAGTAAAATTTTATAAATTATTTAAATGTACCCCAATATATCAATATTCATTCATTTTCTTATCGGCTTAGTCCCTTTATTAATACAGGGTCGCCACAGCGGAATGAACCGCCAATTTATCCAGCAAGTTTTTACGCAGCGGATGCCGTTCCAGCCGCAACCCATCTCTGGAAAACATCCACACACAAACTCATACACTACGGCCAATTTAGCCTACCCAATTCACCAGTACCACATGTCTTTGGACTGTGGGGGAAACCCACGCGAATGCAGGGAAAATATGCAAACTCCACACAGAAACACAAACTGAGCCGAGGCTCGAACCAGCGACCTTCTTCCTGTGAGGCGACAGCACAACCTACTGCGCCACTGCTTCGCCCTATATCAATGTTTTGTGTGTATTTTTAGTATGAACAATTCTAGCCACCAAAAGATTTCTTTTTTTTCTTGATTGGCTACAGAACAAACTGTTGTCCAAACACTTGTCTAATTAATCTAGCTTGCCAAATTAACCTAATAAGGCCTTTAAATTGCACTTTAAACAGAATACTAGTAACTGGCTAAATATTATTTACTGTCATCATGGCAGACAAAAGAAATAAGTTATTAGAAACTCTTTATTAAATCTATAAGCACTAGCACCTGGGAAATTCAAGTTTATTTGTATAGCACCATTCACTAGCAGCTTTACTAAATGAGCACATTATTAAATTGCTATTAAATTGCTATCAAAATCAAATTTAGGGTGTGGAGTATAGGGTTTACACTACAGTGGTCATAGCATTTACATTTGAAAAAGAATTAAAAACTTACAGAAGGGCTGTATATATAAAACCATTGTTATAATGTATTATCAATACAAAACCACTTAACAAAATTACAAAAATACCAATAAATCACTTTTATTCACCAAAAAAAAAAAAAAAAAAGTTAAAACTGATTCAGTTAGAAGGTTTGTGTCTGTTTATGTGAAAAGTTTTAAATAAAGTCCTTATATTTACTCAGGCAGCAATAATTTACATGTCTGACTGTTACATATATTGTTTTGTATGCATGCCTGAGTGTTTGCATGTGTAACATAAATGGCTTTAAATACTTAATCAATTTATCTATGAATCTTTGGTTATAGCATTCATTTTTTGCTGATGCCAGTCCCCTTTATGACCCAAGCTCCAAATCAACTTAAAAAATACAAAAGAATGGCAAAGAGTGAATGTCAAAATGCAAAAAAGAAAAAAAGAAAGAAAAAAAAAAGAAAAAAGCTTTTCTTACTAAGATTTTGTGTCTTGTTTCTTGTCTAAATATCTGAAAATTCTAAGAATCAAAAAGCATTTTAGACAAACAAAATTAGAGTCTTGTTTATCCTTAAAACAAGCAAAATAATCTTATGCCATAATGAAAAACAAGATTATTTTGCTTGTTTTAAGGGAAAACTCACTGAATTGTGGCATATTATTTTTGAAAATAAGACAATAGTTTATGCTACTTGATATAGCCAGAATTTTTAGACATTTGGAAACAAGACAAAAACTCTTCAGTAAGAACGCAGTGCAAAGCTAAACAATGGCCAATGGGAAAGCAATACAGTTATGACAAAGTTAGTGTATTCAAATGGCTGTTAAACTTAAAATTAGCTATTAGGGTAAAAACCGGTTTATTTGGACCTACGCTCGGATCTCATCCTCCTTGTAGAAGAGCTGAGGTACAGGGTCTGCTGCTGGAACCCTTGGTCTGCGGGGTTTCTGATAGAGAGGTTCTTTCTTCGGAGGAAAAGCTGCATAAACATCATACCAGATGGGTTTTTCCTCAGGCTTGAGCACTCCAGCTCGCAATAAATCACGAACCCTTTACAAACAAGCATCCAATCATTCAGCTTCACAATACAAACTGCATCTCATCAGCAATATTCAAGAAATCAGACTTAAATGCTTATATAAATCTCCAGAAATTGGACTCATTTAGGTAAAATGTATGACAAATTAACAAATGTCAAATAAAATAGTATGTAAATCTCTTTATAAAGCCGAACGGTCATTTTAACAAACAAACATAACGTTACACACATAAAGCTATTATTTATTTAGATTAAATAAGCGTTATTGGCATTATGAAATGATTAATATACTAACTGTTACACTTTAGAATTCAGCTTGTTTTAAAACGTATTTTACATTCCATTAACCTTGAAGTGATCTGAAGAAGCACATGCTGTCATTGGCGCTTACCTTGTAAATACAGTCCCGAACTTTTCAAGTCGACTTCCAGCCATAATGTATGTATTTGATTATAAAAATTTATTTAGACGACAATAAATAATTGGAAAATCAAAAAAAACGTGACAGTAACAGAAACGCTCTTTGCTGCAGCGATACAGTGCTTCCGGTGTTACTATGGATCCCCATCAAAGACAAACTAGACGAAAGCGAAGGTAAAAAAAAAAAAACCTGTCTTGTAGTTATGTTATAATTACTTTATTACAAAATACAGAATTTGCCATGAAATAAAAATTCCAATTACAGATTTACATAACACTTTATATCTAAGAAAGTATGAGCTACAGAAGTAAATATCTGGGGATTTATATGTAGCTTAAGGTAAGCCATCATCACAGTTAAAAATGCAGCTAAGAAAAAAGGATTTTGATTGACAAACACAAACTAGATGCATTGGTTTTTAAACAAACAAGGGCAAAATAAAATTCGACCGATAATGGATTGATGTGTTTTATGGGAATTTATGAAATTTCTGCTTCGGGTAAAGTGTTTTATTGCGTGATGTTTATTTGCACTGTGGGCTCAGGAGTTAGTGTACTCTCAGTGCTGGGTTGAGGCTGGAACAGTATCTAACACATGAAACATAAAAGTAATTGGCGGTTCATTCCACTGTGGCGAGCCCTGACAGATCAGGAACTTGCCAAAAAAAATTATTAAGCGAGTGGTGTTTCAGATTTACTTATGGACCCTTTTTACATTTCCAGGTTTCTCAGCAGCTCAAGTCATCTTTGTCGGGTAAACTTAGAGCGCAGTGAATGGGAAAGTACAATATATATATATATATATATATATATATATATATATATATATATATATATATATATATATATATATATATATATATATATATTTAAATCTTGTTTGCTGAAATAATAAAAGAAAAACAATGGTGTTATCAAGACTTTCAGAAAAAGGAAAAAAAATAGTGTGAAACTGATGACGACAGCCAGAGGAATGACTGTCCTGCCCCATAGACGCTGCATTAGACACATCTCACAAAAGCACATCTCAAAAATCATTCTTTTTTTTTTTGGCTTAGTCCCTTTATTAATCTGGGGTCGCCACAGCGGATTGATCCGCCAACTTATCCAGCACATGTTTTACGCAGCAAATGTCATACCAGCTGCAACGCATTTCTGGGAAACATCCATACACACTCATTTACTCATATACACTACGGCCAATTTAGCTTTATCCAATTCACCTATACCGCATGTCGTTAGACTGTGGGGGAAACAGGAGCACTGCGTCGCCATTAGTAGTAATTTGTTTTTTGTAATTTGATGCAAAGATAACATACATACATAAATACATATAAATTTTTATACATTAAAAAAATCTAATTATTAAAAACTTTCAAGGATTTAAGATGCAGATGACCGATGAATGTCAGAAGTCTTGATAAAAGAGTCCATTTCTTACAAACAAGATGCATAAAATTAAAGAATTACAGGATTAAACATTCTTCTTTTTGGTGTATCTGGGTTTTGAAAAAAATCTAAATGGTCCAGGTGATCTTGAGCACTAGTATCCGAAGATGTCCTCATGGTACCGTTTTTCATTCTGTGATAAAAAAAAATGCATAACAAAATAATTAGTGTACACATATCTTTACAGATAAAAAAAACATTAAGATTTTAATTTTCTTAATTTGAGGAAAACTCCTAAACACAAATGCTGTTAGACATTTGCTCTAAATTGTGTTGTCATGTTGGTGGTTGACCTTGAGCCTTGACAGATACTCCTCAGCCTGAGCAACAGTGATGCCCATCTGATTGACTAGGATCTCCTTGACAGTAGCAGCTACATCGCAGGCCATGTTCACCCCTCCACAGACGTACACATGTCCTGAGTTGTGGTGCAGAACCTCAAAAATCTTGTCATTTAATTGCTCTCGCAAGATATCTTGGACATAAACCTGGAGCAAGAGTGCAGAAATAAATGCAGGATAACAGTATCTACTAGCAATGACATGTGACTATCTGAGAGTGTCAGCAGCCAATTAAAAAAAATTAAATCATTAAAAGAAAGCTTTAAATTTTAATTTAGAAAGTTTCCTGTTTTATTAAATAATAATAATAATAATAATAATAATAATAATAATAAGATAATAAATAATAAAAAAGTAATAATTTATTTTGTTCAATCATTTATAAAAGATCATAAAAGTAATTTGACAACATATTGAATACTAAAAGTCATAATTAATGGTTTAAATCATTAAACTTTGCCTTAATCCTTCAAACCAATAAACCAGGACACTTTTAATCATTAAGAAATAAAATAAAATAAAATGTAGTATGTTCTATAAATAGGGTGACGCAGTGGCGCAGTACGTTGTGCTGTCACCTCACAGCATAAAGGTTGCTGTTTCGAGCCTCGGCTAGGTCAGTTGTGTTTCTATGTGGAGTTTGCATGTTCTCCCTGCGTTCGCATGGGTTTCCTCTGGGTGCTCTGGTTTCCCCCACAGTCCAATGACATGTGGTACAGGTGAATTGGGTAAGCTAAATTGTCCATAGTGTATGAGTGTGAATGAGTGTGTGTGTAGAGTTTTCCAGAGATGGATTGCGGCTGGAAGGGCATCCGCTGCATAAAAACGTGCTGGATAAGTTGGTAGTTCCTTTCATTATGGCGACATTGGATTAATAAAGGGACTAAGCCAAAAATGAATGAATGAATGAATGAATGAATGTACTATAAATGTAGTATGCTTCTATCATTGCAAAAAATGCTGTTCTTACTTAGATTTTTTTGTATTGTTTCTAGTCAAAAAATAGCAAAATAATCTTATCACAAATCGAAAAACAAAATTATTTTGCTTACCCCATTGGCAGATTATTTTGCTTGATTTAATGAAAAACTCATTTCATTTTGGCATATTATTACTTAAAACAATATGTTTTGCTTGTCTAGAAAATGTTTCTTGATGTAAGAATTTGTAGATATTTGGACTAAAAACAAGACAAAAAATCTAAGTAAGAAAAGTATTTTTGCAGTGTATTCTTTTATATAATTTATGCGCAGGTCAGAATATATGCGGTCTAATTTATTTGGAAATATATCTGTAAAGATGAATGACACGTCTCCCCTATTTCAACAGACAGCCTGTGCAGTGAAGTGGCGTGGCCAGAGGTGCTGTAATGCTATTTGCAGAGAGAGTGCAAAAATGCCGCCCAAACGCTGCTATTTCCACAGAGCTTCTTTTGTTTCTGTATTTGGGCTTCCGAAGGACACGACAAAAAGAGAGAAGTGCTTACAATTTTTTAAAATTATGTTCCAGAGAATTATAAAAAAATATGGAGGCTAGCTAGCATTCGACAAAGGGGAACTTCCAGACTCTCTCCCAGTTCATTGCTGCATTCGGCTAAAAACTCCTCAAACCGTTGTGAGCCACAACCTGTAAGTAATTTAGCAGTAATCTAGCATTAACGGTATATTGTAGCGAGGGTGTAAAAAAGGATGTAAACAACGGTAAATGCTGTTTGGCACCCCTAACAGTTTAGCTGCAAATTCATATTTATTCGTCAAATCGCTGTAAACATCCACAATCTTTAGCTGCGCTGCAGTGTTTCTCTATGTGGCTGCTTTCTCTGCGTTCTACATCTAAAATAAATTGTTTGTCAGATTATATTTTAGAGAGCAGGCATGTTCAGCTATGTGCTCTTCATGACTGAACTGTTTACACAGCGCAAAAGCGCCTGCTTTAGGAGTGTGACGTGGTAATGTGGAGCCGATCCACGAATCACAGCACATTATGTTAGCTGACCAATCAGAGCCTCTTGACGGTGGGCCTTACAGAGGAACTAGGAAATGTGACGGACATTTTCATGTTAGCTGAGTAGCTGTATATAATTAAAGATATAGGAAAAAAACTGAGTTTCTACAAGAGAAGCATGAGCACACATTGCTTTGCAATTTATAAACACAACCAAGCCTTAAAATACACTTTGGACCACCCCTTTAAACATTTAAGAAGACCCTTGCTTTTAATATATTATATAACATATTATAACTGTATATAAAATCACTTTTGTATATTTAATTTGATCCACACACCAACAATTGTTTCATATTTGACTGAAATATTTATAGTTATCACTACAGTGTTGCTCTACCTTAGCTTGTCCAGTCTGCCTAGAGTACGCTGTTGTGATGCTGCTTAGAGTACCATTGTCTCTCATGTCCAGAATCTCTTCTTTGTACAGATGATCAGTATCTGAACTTCGACACCCAAACACAAGTGTCATCGGATTGCCTTTCAAACCTTGAAGAAATACCACAACTTCAGACAAGCCAATTTCAGGTGCACTCTTTGAAATTACTTGACTGTGATATAGGATGAAATTCAATACCTGTTTTATTCATGTCATGGAATTGCTGTTGCCAAAAGCTACGGAAGGGAGCAATGCCGCTGCCAACTCCCACCAGAATACATGGAGCGTTAGGGTCCGACGGAAGATGGAACCAGTCAGAGCTGGAATAGATGCATAAATGAAAAAAGTTAGTGAGTTTTAGTCCCCTCCACTAATATCAGCACCCCTGGAAAATTAAGCAAAGAAGAAAAAAATCATATTCATTAATTCATTGTTCATTTATGATTTGCTTTAAAAAATCTGAAAAAGCTGTAGTTTGGTTTTGGATAAGAGTAGAGACTTTTTTCTAGAACCCTTTTCAAATAATTTATGGTGATCACAAGTTCAGGTCGGATTGTAGTTTTGGAGATTTTGAAACTAGAAAATTTACTTTCTTGGAGAATTCCCCCCCCCCCACCTAATAGTGATAAATACTGATTCTATTCAATTCTAGTTGACTGCAATGTCTTAATTATTGTCACCATGCTGTTAATGGCCAGTTTGAGTGTTTTTGCAATTATCTAAACAAGGTTAAAGGTTAAACTCTTTAAAGTTTTTTTTTAATTTTTAAGTAAAAATTTTGCTAGAGAACACTGTTTTTAGATGAACGAATAATCTGTTCAAGGTAATAAACTAAAAAAAATGGTTTGAATAGGTAATATTTAAATCAAAGTCTGACCTTTGTCAGGAGTGGCAGTCTTTCTCTGTTGACATCAGTTTGACGGATTCAGTCACAATATTCCCAACTGCACTCCTTTTACCATTAGATTGCAATGAGTGAATGATGTGCATAAAGGAAAGCCCCACCCCCTACTCAATATTCTGTTTCAGTTGTAAGTAGATCAACATGAAATAAAAGTCTCAAAATCTTCCAAATTACACAGACTTTAAACTGCATTTTCACTGATGTTCACTAATTAAAAAGTTTCAATGAATGTCCATGAATGGCACATTAGGCTGCTGTTGTGCCTGTATGTTAAGAAATAATTTAATATTAAAGTAATGTTTAGAAATTAAAACCATATCAAAATGGTTTTAGCTTAAAATTTATTTCTCATGACTTTTATTGGCCACTATGAGAACAACAATGGGCAATTTACCTGATAATTTTGAATAAATTAAGGTACATACTGTTTGCATGGCTGTGAAGTGCTTCCTCTTCCAAAATTGATTATTCTATAGCCGTTTTAAAAAGTTCAGCTTTAGCCAAAGTTAGCACGTTAGTCTTAGTCAATACAATCCGGTGACTGTATTTGACTGCCAGTTGATTAGAATAAAATTAATAAAATGGAGCTACAAATAGCCTAACCATACCATCGAGCCTGAAATAATACAATATAAAAATATGGTATAAACAATTAAGATTTGATAAATCAAGAGTAAAATTTAAAGCAGCAACTAACAAAACCCCCTGATACTTCATAACCTGGACAAAAAAATTGTGTGACTTTTAATGTTGTGTGAAAAAATGTGAAGAATGACTGAGTGGTTTTGTCCTGCAGTATAGGTTATCTCATACTTACAGCCCCCAAGGTTAAAGATCAAAAGCTTAAACAATAAACACACTTTCACAGCCTTTTTGCTAATATTTTCAAAGGGTCCAAATATTAGTGGAGGAACTGGTATAATTATGAGAAAAGTCAATGTGAAATGAAGGATACCTATGGAGAAAGCATGGCACCGTGTCTCCTTCTTTGATGGTGTTGAGCCAGTTACTGCACAGACCAAAATGAAGTGGACCTTTTCCCTCTATAGAGAGCAGAACAAGTGACAACTGATTAATTTTCTCAATGAATCTAGAAGTGAGTAGTTTTACATTGAAAGTTTGGTCTAATGTACCCTGTGTATAATAACTAATTACAGCAACAGTAAGGTGGAGCTCCTGAGGGTGGAGGTCAGGAGAGGAGCTGATGGAGTAGAGTCGGGGCTTCAGCAGAGGCAGCTGACTGAGAAGAAAAGCAGCCGAAAGTTCCAGAGAGGGAAACTCCTCCAGCACCTCAAGGAAAGTCGGCTTGAAGAAATCCTTCCATGTTGTGTAGACCTGAAAGTCCTGTGGTAGAAAGACAGTTTGCTGTGTATTTATCAATTACTATATCAATAAAGTTTAGCTAATGATCTATATATAAACCATTTTTCTCGAAACGGAAGTAGTGAATTTCTTCATATGGGTCAAAGACAAGATATAGAGCTTATCAAATGTCAAAAGAATAGAAGTGTAATATAGCTTTGAAGACCCCATTAAATCAAAATAAAGTTTTTTTAGATGTTAGTATCAGTATTTTAGTCCTATAAATATCATTAAGCTAATGTGCTACAAGAAATTGCAATGAGAAGATATAAAAATCCAGTTTGTCAGTTATAACTTCCACCTAAAAGGATCAACAATGTTGATGTCACTTCATACTTCAGTTTCTGATCAAATCGTCTGCTCTTTATTATCTGACATGTTTCGGTTGTGCTTGAGCTGAACCACTTTCACTGGCAGTGGCAGACTGTTTTTAAGGGGGAGGGGCTACTCAATATCTTGTCCTGTGTTCATGTTTCAGTTTTTATTTTGTTATACATCTACCAAAATGCACATTTCAAAGCGTTTCATGGGATCTTTAAGGGTTGTTTATTCCATAAATCGTGACAAAAGTTTGCTGCTAGGCAAAAAATAAAGATTATTATCATAAATTTTAATATGCTTTACAAAAAAAAAAAAAAAATGAAAATGTAATTGAGTGTTAAAATTGTTTATACTCTATAACAAAAAAAAAATCTTGTCGGGAATATTTATGAAAAGAATCCTGTCATGACATATTAAAAGATTTAAAATGAACAGTGTGAAAATACTTATTTATTTAACTTTTATTTATATCAACTTTTACATTACTCTTCCAACTATTTTACACATTTGTCAGCAATACATTTTTATATTTAAATTTAAAATAATCAACTAAGGTGTGTCTACATAAAACAAGGGAGCAGATAGGATTTTTTTCTGGGGGCAACCCTTAGCAAGTTATCAGCAAATTATTTGCACTAATAATTTATAAGCAAGAAAGCACTGAACATATATGACAAAAACAATTATATTAATAATAAAATAAGATGTTAAAATGATCTTTTAATCAAGCCAGGCTCATTACGGATAGGTTATACAGGTCTTCTGGAGACAGCGAAATACATAACTGGAGGTACGTCTGCTCGCAGTTTTTGTTTTTACAAATGCACCAGAGAGGGCATCTTCTAGCATAAATCTACCAGAAGGCACAATATACACTTCAGCCGACTAGGCCAGCTTGCTGTCATCTGACTGACTGACCGACCCACCCCCATCCCTTAACCCAACCAATAGTGTTTTCAAAAGCAATCTAGAAAAAGCCAATGCAGCCGCGTGATTTCATCACATTTTCACAGATTTCAGTTTATTTATTTTTTGCTTTTTTTGCTTGGTTTCTGGAATCGTTCTTCGCTGGACTCAAACCCCGTCATAGCAGTCAACTCAGCCCCATGTCCTAACTTCATCGGCCTATATTTGGTGAGCTACTAGTCAAACTGGTAACATTGGAAAAGCCATACGTACAGAGGTACGCGGTCAGATGCGCTAAAAGGAATAGAAGCCGTTGGCGGCATCATACCACCCCATAGACTAAATGCAGGCATACGTAGCTCTGGCTGCATAATTCCCATTCTCTGAAAATGTAGACAGGGGTATGTATCCACAATGAGTCTGTGGTCCTTTTAATGGATGTTTTTAATCTGCTGATTTCAAAAATCACCTCATCATTTTCCTAAGGGAATTACATTTCTAAAACTCTTAAGGCCCTAGAAAACTTGAAGCAAAATCAGACTACTGGAATGACGTGATTGTAAACAAAATGAACTTATTTTGGCCCTCAAATAAATGATGAAAAAGAACCTTTTACATAAACCAGGGCCTTAAAGTTACTAAGCTAACAACAAAATATCTTGCAGTTCTCATCCCCAGTTCTACAGCCCCTGCAATCATCAAAAAGTGACTTACTGATGCCAGAGCGAGCAAGTGCTGTCTGTGATCCTCCTGTCTGGCTATCTTTGAGAGTTTGCGGAGGAGGCTTTGAGAGGGTGGGCTGGTGACGTCCAGATAGTAGGTGAGAGCCTGGGCAAGAGAGCATGGCGGTATTCGTTCATCTCTCTGCCACCTTTCACCATCTATAGAACAGAGTTATTAGATATCATTATGTTATTATGAGTTAGACATCCATTATGTAATTAGATGGTTCAGTACCAGCATGGGCACTGAGGAATTCCAGCTGAAGGCTCTGGTTGATAGGATTGGCATTGGACAGATGCTTTAAGATGCCAGCCACTAATCCAGGTGAGTTCCCTGCGAAAATCCCCACATGGTCTCCTGGGGTGAAGTTTAAGGGCTCTGTGTTTCCTTCCATTTCCAGCTCCACCAATATTGTAGCACAACTGAGTACAAGTAAAATAATAAAAATATTGAGGTTTTTATATGTTTCAGAAAAAAAACTAATAATATTGTAAGATTTGAGATATCTCAGATACATTGTGATGCCTCAGATACTTCGATGTGTCCACATATGGACAATGCAAGAATACACAGTTTATAAACACAAAACTTGCCTCCACACACCCAGCTGAGTGAAACTGGCAAAGCATTTACATTTGATCAGTCTCCCCTTTCTTCTTTCCCTTCACCTCTCCAATCAGAAAGATCATATCAAAATATGACCAATGCAGGTAATTTTAACCATCAAGTTTGATATAATTTAGAATGTCTCAGTGCGACTTGTACAATGGTGTCGTTCCCACAGATGTAAACAATCAAAATGAAAGATTTGTCACATCGGGAGACCTTTGACCCACTGCAAACTAAGGGTGTGCACCCTATCTGAGGGTTTCTATTTTAATAAGTCTACAATTTGTTCCCCATAGGCAGAAACTCTTCAGATCTATATGCAAATTCCGATTGTTGTTTCACACACCCCTCCTTGGAGGACATTCTCTCTTTTTGGTTTGAGTATTTACGTAAGGAAAAAGGGTTAAAATGCTCAGGGCGATTCTGTAGCCAGGTCAGCCAGTCATGGTATGACCTTTCACGTGCTATAATATGCATCTTATTCATGTCAAGAATGCATCTTTTGCTCTTAGATCTATTTGAGAACAAGATATCTTGTATTGATTGTTCATGAATTGACTGAAAAATTGGCATACTTTAATGCACATTTACCTGACTGATAAATTTCTATGTTTCAGATTGTTCTAATTGATCTCGTGTAATTAACTCTAGTAAATTGCATCCAAAAAGTACCTAACACCTCAAGCCTTTGCTCAGGGCACACTAACTAATGTTTTAGAGCTCCGACTAAGGGGCATTAGTGCATGTATACTTAGATTGTAGCGACTAAACATTACACACTGATGGTGCTTTCTATTCAGAACAGCAGTTTTGTGAGACCAATCTAAATATGGGTGAGCCTCAACCTTTCTGGTTATTCTAATGCTATTCTAATAGTTCAATTTTTTAAGTCACAATATAATTATTTAAAAAATACCAGTAAAGAAAGTTGGTCTGCTTGGCTCTATTGCAAATAATTATGAAATAGCTATAGCATTATTTTCACTTTGATCTATGGGGATTGCATGAAATATTTTAGAATTAGTAAGTCGGGTTTCACCATTCTTGAATGACCAGGACTAACAAGCATGTAAATAAATGATTGGATAATCAGCTTGTAAAGACTCAAGCTGTTATAGGGATCTAAATAAACAAGTTTAATATACAAAAACAAGATGAAACAGAATAATTAAAACATTCATCTAAATTCATTAATCAATGAATATTCTAAAACACCTCACATTAACATTATAGTCAGATATAAGTTTGATTTAAACTAAAACAACATAGTGTACTGGAAAAATCGAACACACAGTGCACCTTTATCCACCCTCATTGGACTAAATGAGTGGACCCTTACTTAATATATTTGTAATTTTTAATAATAAAATCAATTAATTGTAATAGTATTAACAAAAATAATAGATCTGAGAAAAACCTTGACTTTGCACTCTGCAGGTTCTGCCTTCTCTTCAGTTTCATGGGAACCACAGCTTTAGAATGAAGAGTCGACAGAGCTGTAAATCCAAACCAAATAATAATAATCACTGCATAAATCTCACAAATAAATCTGTTATTAACATTGATGACATGATTCTTAAATACTGTTAAATACTTATTATAATTAAACTGCATCTCTGAAGGGTGACGCAGTGGCGCAGTAGGTAGTGCTGTCGCCTCAGAGCTAAAAGGTCGCTGGGTCGCTGGTTCGAGCTGGCGTTTCTGTGTGGAGTTTGCATGTTTAATAATAATTGCAAAGACATGCGGTACAGGTGAATTGGGTAGGCTAAATTGTTCGTAGCGTATGAGTGTGTGTATGAGTGTGTGTGGATGTTTCCCAGAGATGGGTTGTGGCTAGAAGGGCATCTGCTGCGTAAAAACATGCTGGATAAGTTGGCGGTTCATTCCGCTGTGGCGACCCTAGATTAATAAAGGGACTAAGCCGAAAAGAAAATGAATGAATGAATGAATGAATGCATCTCTGAATTCAAAATGACACTAAAACCATTTCTACGTCCGTATTTAATAAAAAAGTATACTACAGTCAACTTTCAAAAATGTTTTGATCAAAATAGGTTCAATAATTTTAGTACAACTTTGATGAAACAGGATGATCTTCTTCAAATGCTGACTACTGTAGTCCAAGCAAAAAATGTTTAATTGCTGTTAATGTACTTGCTCTACTAAAATGTAGTAGGTGACTTTTTTCCAAAGCAGAACTTTAAAGAAAATTTTTTGCTTTGAAAATTCTTTGGTGAATTAGAAAATGCAACTCCTACAAGCACCTTAAAAGTAAAACAAAAATACTTCTTATGCAGTGAAACAATCAGTCTGTATGAGAAACTGAACATTTATATACTACATTATTACCTTTAATCAAATGAGTGACAACAGCAGTGGAAATTTGAAGAGTAAAGAACACTTAGTGTGCTCCTGAAGAAAAAAAATTCATATATATCTTGTTTTTCCAGAGTGTATATTAACAAAAAATGTTAAGTTTGGGGTTAACTATCTATACTTAAATATTGTATAGTACAGTATTATGCTTTAGTAGAACAATACATACATACATACATACATACATACAGTTGAAGTCAGAATTATTAGCCCCCCTGAATTTTTAACGCCCCTGTTTATTTTTTTCCCCAATTTCTGTTCGTTCTGGGAAGATTGTTTCATCACATTTCTAAGCATAATAGTTTTTAAAAAAAATTCTAATAACTGATTTATTTTATCTTTTCCATGACGACAGTAAATAATATTTTACTAGATATTTTTCATTTTCAAGACATTTTTCGATACAGCTTAAAGTGACATTAAAGGCTTAACTATGTTAATAAGGTGAACTAGGCAGGTTAGGGTAATTAGTCAAGTTATTGTATAACGATGGTTTGTTCTGTAGATTATCGAAAAAGAAAATGTGCTTAAAGGGGCTAATAATTTTGTCCCAAAAATGATTTTTTTAAAAATTAAAAACTGCTTTTATTCTAGCTGAAATAAAACAAATAAGAAGAAGAAAAAATATTATCAGACATACTGTGAAAATTTCATTGCTCTGTTAAAAATCATTTGGGAAATATTTAAAAAAGAAAATCAAAATCAAAAGGGGGCCAATAATTCTGACTTCAACTGTACATACATACAGTGCACAGCTCTTTTTCCCCTGGCTGTTTGACCTAATCAATTCTGAAAATGGTATCAAGCTCTTACTATAATTATCCAATAATATAATAATATTCAATAAATAATATGGTTTTGGTGCAGGTCTAAATGTACCAGTGATTCGGTCAACTGTACAGCTGTCATTCTGAACTCTGTATCTCTGCGAATCCCAGGAATCCACCAGACAATCAGTTCCTGGAAGTTGCCCTTGAACATTAAACTCCTTGCATGCATCCTACACATACAGAAAACAAACATCATACAATTACTTTTAAAATTCACCAACTTAAAGTGCTGAAAACAATGATTGTTCATTGTTCATTACTGTTTATCACATGGATGTGTAGAAATACTAAATTCTGATTGGTTAGTCAAAACCATCCAAGGTATGTTATTCTGAAATCACAACCTCTGAATATCACAGGCTCATCCGGAAACTTCAAATCAACTTGACCATCAAGGAATATGTATCTGCTTGTTTATCATGCCGCTGTTTTTGACTGACTAATACGTACATTTGTCTGCTTCATTAAACCAGTTTCAACTATCTTCAGTTTCAACATCTTTTGACTGAATAATGCAAAGGTTAGTGTATGCTCCATCAGCTGTTTTTGTTTCTGTCAGCTTTGTTTGTTATTAAAGAACTAATAAACTGTTATGTCTCAGAACAATGTTTTGTGTCTAATTTTTATCTTTTGCGGCAAGAAGCCATGTAATAAGCGGAATAAAATACATCCAGAATGATTGTTTTTGCATAATAAAGTCTGATATAATAAGCCTGTCTGCCTTTATTCTGTGATAATAACCTCCTGGATGTATTCTAACTTATTACCTTAAAGGCAGTGCAAGCCCAGGATGAGAACGATTCCTCCTGTCCTTTCAGCTCATCTCCCTCTCCTGTACTGGAAACACGGATGGCTCCCAATGATGCAAACATAGCATCCAGAGCATGGGCAAATGCACAGAAGTGTGGATACATCCGAGAGCCAAGACCAAACACACAGTACCTGTTTGAGGGAATTATATTATTTTGGGAGTCAGTCTATACAGGATTGGAGAGAGATAACTGATTTTAAACACTGACCTGACTTTGGTTCTGAGGGTTTTTAGGCTGAGAAGCTGCTTTTTGAAACTCTGAGACCAAAAATACAAATAAATACATGCACATAATCACAGATGAGAAGCACATTCAACAAATAGTTATTGCAAAAGCAAATGATTTTATCTAAACATCTTATCAATTTGACATACTGTAAATTCTGCAAACTCCCATACCTCACCGTTTCCTGGACAGTCGCCATTGCCAAAGGTGCTAGTAACAACAATTAGGAGGCTTTCCTTCTCAAGTTCACTTACATTGTAGTCCTCCATGCAAACAACCTGTTTAAATAATGAGAAAATATATTTAAAAAGATTTACAAACATTGCCATTTACCCTGAAAATGACAATTGGTCAGAATAAAAATGGTTTTATTTGTTGTCTTCTGAAGTGTTTAAAAAAAGTTTAAAATAATTATAAACATGTGAAAACTAAATCACAATATAATACAAAATATTTGTACATAATCTTAGATTTCATCTGTCTCATGGTAGCATTACCCATATTGTATGAGCATCCATTTCTTATAATTTAATGCCACTAGTCCTTTTTTTGTAAAATACTTATTAACATGTAAATAAATCTCTTCAGACTAGCAGCAGACTAGACTGCATGTGTGATGTTTACCAAAAATGTAAATTAACCCAAAGCTTTGAGCTCACTACACTTTAGCACATGCTGAGAACTAGTTATTCAATATTTACTCTGTTAAAAAAAAGCTAATACTATTAGAAATAATCTTCATTTCTTGCAAAAGACAAATCATTTCGCTCAGTAAGACCTCAGTATATCACCAGGAGCCACAGAGAATGATTGAGACTTTTTTGTTTATTTTTAATCTTAAAAGCGGAGGATCATTGACTTGCATTAAACAAATGACCATAGATAAAATTTTAAAAAATCTTCTTTAAAGTTCCACTGAAGAAACAAATGGTCAACTATGTCTTCAATGGCCTGAGGGTGAGTAAATGAACTGTAAATTGTATTTTTTGTGAACTACCCCTTTAAGGCCCAGAACAGGTAGATTTAGCTCAAGGTAGCAATTTTTCTTGTTACACATTTAATACAGTGTGATATTATGAATAATGTGTGTCACACAAAATACACCACCTTGGTGCCATGAAACGTTACACATGAATCAATGGTGATGGTTCGTCTTACCCTGGAGCTGAAGCAACAGTTCATGATGCCGTTTAGTTTCTTAGCGAAAGTCTGTGATTTTCCAGTTTCTGTGGCATAGAGAACTGTACAACACACTCTCTTGGCCATAGCCAACTTAATAAGTGCTTGTGAGAAGAGAACTACTCTAGAAGAGAGAAATGAAAACAAGAATTTTAGCTACTGTAACCAGTCTGCTCACCAAATATTTACAGCTAACCATTCAAATATTCATTAGATTTTTGCAGAAAGATCTCTTCTGACAGAACAGCACTGTGTTGTTCTGCTGCGAGCATAATATTGCGGTACCTGATCAGTCCTTTAAAGCTGATTGTACAGCGCCTCGCTTTTCTCTTCATGTCCTTCCACTTGTGCGTCAACCAGGCTTCAGGCTTTAAACAGCAAGAGACAACACATGATCATGTAAGAACATCTTAAAACACTTGTTTAGACTGTCATACAACACATACAATAGCATGATACTTTGAGACTTGAAAATATTTCAGCAATTTCTGATTGTCAATAGTTAGACTCTTTTTTAAATAAAGGTTTTAGGAAAAACCAAAAGAGGTGTTTTATAATGATGCCTTTTTTGTTCATCAAAGAATGTTATAGTGAAAGGGTGTTATAAGAACCAGTTTTCAAGCTGTAAAAAACATTTTAATAACATAAGCAGCATTTTTCCCTATAAAGAACCACTGGTGTAATTAATTGGTTCCACTAATATTAAAAGGATTGTTCACCCAAAAATGTTTTCCTAAAAAACACACACACACAAAAAAATATTTCTAACCATTTACTCACAGTCAAGTGGTCTAAATATTTTTGATTTTCTTTTTTCTGTCGAACATGAAACAAGATATTCTGAAAAACGTTGGAAAAAAACAAAGCCTTTGACATCTATAAATACTATAGAGGTCAATGGCTGTTTTTCCCAACATTCTTCAGTATATCTTCCTTTGTGCTCAACAGAAAAGAATACTGGATTGGAACAAGGGAAAGATGAGTAAATAATCATTAAATTAAAATTTTTGGGTGAACCATTACTTTAAAAGTTCTTCATGGGAACATCAATGCCAATAAGGGGCTTTTATTTTTATGGATATATCTGCTTATTGTACCTGGTAGTAGAAAAAAGGTGAGAGGATGTAGTTCAGCATTTCCTGGTGAAAGACTGGAGTCAGAGATCCAGACATTGGCGGCACCAGCCAAACCCAGTCGGCTGGACATCCTCCACGCAGACGCACCTCCATCTCCATGTGCTGCATGAAGGACTCTGATGCAGAATGGTGGTCAGTAATGGTGACTTTATTTTTCTGGATGTCAGTAAGACAAAACAATCATAAAAACGGGGAAGGGTCCAATCTATCTAGAATCATGTACTGATTCTTTAGTACATACTTATAGGGATTTATTTTTACATCCATCCCTTTAGCTTTGACCTTTCATAATGATATATAGCTATGATTATGTTACATATGAATCTATAAATAAAATTTGACTGTAAAATTGTTATGTTGTATAAGATTTATCTCGATGTATATCTTGGAATTACACAGTTTTTAGTAAATAATGAGTTTAATATAACAATATCTGAATCTAACAGTCAATAAATCTATTTCATGAACTTAAAAATCAACATATATTTGTATGTTTTCTAAATTATACTTCCCGTTGATTATTAGGCTTAAGTGTAGACCTTCATGCTTAACAAAATAAAATAGAAATAAAAAAATTAAAAAAATCATGTACTCTCAATTGATACTTTTTGAAAATACTGCTTACGCCCCCGAAAATATATATTTACTAATGAGATCAGGAATCCTCTGTCCCAAGCCAAAGCCTGCTATTCAGATCCACCTTACCTGATAACTATGCATGACTGCTACATTAATGGCCACCAGAGCCTGGTCCTTCCATAGCGAGGACAGATTTTGAGTCTCCAAGCTCATCTGACGGCCAACGTGCTGCAGGCCATAAGACAGCAGAAAGCAAGACTACTAAAGAACTTATAAACACTATTGTATAAAAAAACAAGCAATAAGAAGCACCTCAAGAACATTGTAGCGCTGGGTATCACAGAAGTTCCTCACTCCAATCTCAGTGCCCATGTACCAACCGTTAAAAGGACATGCTGGGAATTCAAGACCACCAATCTCCAGCAACATGTTGGACACCGCAGGCAATGCATACCAACGCAGGTTCAAATCCTTAAACCACTCATACCTGAAAAAGAGTTAAAACTGTGTGACTAGCAAATATGCAATGTAACAATTACAGTAAAATGTACAGTATTACTGGCAATTCTGGTTGTACTTGTTAATCTACAATGTGCTTGTAAGTTTTGTCAGCAATTCTGTAAAATATACCAGTAATACTGTAAAATGTACAAGCGAACTGTACATTTTACAGTATTACTGTTTATTTTACAGTATTACAGGCAATTTTTACAGTACTACTGGAAAAATTAACAAGCGCACTGTAAATTTTACAGTATTACTGGCAATTTTTACAGTATTATTGGAAAGTATTACTGGAATTTTTACAGTATTACAGGAAAAATTGACAAGCACACTGTAAATTAACAATTACAACTGTGCTGTGGTTTTAGATTGTAAATGTTAAGTTACAGTGCACTTTTACAGTGTACTCACTAGCTACTTAATTGGCTACACCTGTTTAACTGCTCACTAATGTAAATATCCAATCAGACAGCAGCAAGTCAGTGCATTTACTGTGGGTATGTGGACGTGGTAAAGATGATCTGCTAAAATGAAAACTTAGCATCAGAATGGGTGACTTTGCTGGTTGGGCTGACAAAAATTATATTGTTCGACAGTATATCTTCTCTACAGACACGTTAGGTCTTGGTACATGTTGCATTATTGATTGTAATAGCAGTATAACATATTGCCCATAATAAATGTACATCCTGATGACCTGACAAGGAAGAGAAAACACATTGTTTTTACAGTTTATCGTCACACAAATGATTCGTCTGATCCCAGTTGAACCACTGAATTCAGTGTGAAATGGAGTGTTTTGACAATGTTTTTGTTTCCTTTTGTGGACTTGGATTATATGGGGACACTTGCGGTCTATGGAGGTTTAGAGAGTTTTCAGATTTCACTGAAAATATCTTAACTTGTGCTCTGAAGATGAACGAAGGTTGCAGGAGATGAACAAGATGAGGCTGAGTAATTAATAATAGAAGTAATAGAATAGAATCATAGAATAATATGGTTTCTCTCTAGGTTTTTTTTTTCCTTTTTTTCCTTCACTTTTGTCAATTGGTGAAGTTTGTTCCTTGCCAATGTCTCCACTGGCTTGCTTGGTTTGGGACTTGTGGAGCTGTGCATCGAGGGATTTGCTCTTCAGTGTCTGAACTTTAAGCGTTAAAAATTTACCCACAATGATCTGAACTGAACTTCAACTCTGAAATCTGGACTGACACAGTTTCAATATACTAGGATTTCTATCTTAAGCTGCTTTAACACAATATACATTGTAAAAGCGCTAAATACTTTAAATAAACATGAGTTGAATTAAGAAATCTTAGCTCAATTAACCCTTTAAAGCAGTTTAAAATTTGGTTCAACCCAATACTACCAATGTTTAATAAAGCTTAATAAGCTTAATACTACCAATGCTTAATAAAGTGGCTGGTTATTCACAACTATTATCAACAGATCGTTGATCATGAAACTAAATGCAGCATTTCAGTTTTCAAAAATAGATACAAATCCACATTTCTCTGTCTGCATAATTGCAACCCCTATGGCTCCATTACCCAGCACTTCAGTCAAATTCACATAGCACGTCACTGTACTAAATAAGCAGTATTCTAAAGTAAAGTGTGAGACTGAGACAGGTTAGATTTTTGGCCTCACTGATTAAACTCATTTGTCAAGTAGGGATAAAAGAATGTGACATTGAGACAGGTCTTTCAAGTCTGAATGGCTTTGGCAATCTAACCTGATTTTTAAGCAAACTAATTTACTGCAGAACCAATTGGAATGCAAGTCATCTGAAAAATCTGAGCACCTCAGTCAAGAGCTGTGGGTGAACAACATTAACATTGCACTTAAAATCACAAGTGAATGTCTTGACTTTTGTCTTTTTGAGCTAGGACCATTGATACTTTTATATTTAACAGAACAGTTTAGAGTGCAGTCATTCAATTGCTGAGTCTAATCTACTATGTTCTTCCACCCAGTCGGGCTCACTTACTGTGGGTGCTCCATGGGAACTTCCAAAATCAAATCTTTGGGAATTTCAAAAAGCTGGGGGTCCTCTCCATTAGCTTGTAACACCAGTGGAAGTACATCAAATAGACCGTACTTTGGAGTCCAACCAAGCTGGATACAAATCTGGGCATACAGTAGTTGACATTTTATTTAGACATTAAATTAGTTACATGGTTTTTTTCATGATTTGATGAATGTTTTACAGGATTGCAGTGCAGCCCCGAAAAACTAATTATTGGCCATTTTTTATACTTTGCCAACCACTAGGTTTTTATCCATTTGCTAGCGAGTAGTTTTTAGTGATTTTAATATATTCAGATCTAGTATGATAACTTATTATTTTAAACATTTTAATAAATACAGGTCATTTGTTTAACAATAGTTACTTTAAACATAAATCTATAGTAAAATTAAATTTGCATTCCAATTTTAATGTTAATTTATATACATATATAATTTAAACAAATATGTGTTGCAACTGAATTACCAACATACTGGAAAGTACTGCAAAGAGAATATATCCATTTAAATATACATATAAACATTAACAATAACACAGATTATACAAGCTGTAAAAATAAGTAATGCTCAATGTTAGTTCATGTTAGTTAAAACATTAATTAGTGAGAGCCTATAGTAAAGTATTTCCAAAATACCTACCATAATAAACGACATATATTAATGATAGTTAACCATTTTTACGCAAACAATGAAAAATACTTTAAATGTATCTTAGTTTATATAATTTTAACATTTACTAAAACAATATTAAAATCTGAAACTCTAACTGTTTATATTATTTCATGCATCTCGGATGAAATTAACAGTTTTATTTTTATTCAGTAACATTTTAATGAACATTGCCCATTCATGGGAATTCTGACGTGTCTCCTGAGAAAGACACTTTGGGAGATCGCTAGATGACCAAACACTTGGAAGAGTAATGTCGTGGTCACAGTCAAGTTTGAGCATGTGAAAACGGGCGAGATTAAACAAGATATTAAACATTTAAAAAGTGAGCGATTTGTCTATATTTAAAATTTCTATCCAGAGAGGTCATGTTGATCTTCGATTGGTCTCACGCAGTCACTTGATGTAAATTTCAAAGGTCAGAGTTCACCAAGCTTTAACATTTCAAGGCAGCGAACTGCGAAACTTGTTGCATAACCTTGCGTTCCTGGTCTGACGCATTCGCGTGTGTATGAATTAAAGTCTATGAGGAGAAAAGTGCAGTGTGATCACAGCTTATGAAAACAAGCAAATGAAGGCTGAATGAATTAGCAGAGTTTGGCTCCGCAGGTGCCAGCGATTAATCATTAACAGAATATATCAGCTGGCGCTTGTTAAGCGAGATTTATATTTTCGCTTCAAAGCAGTGCCTCCTTTTCTGCGTGAGTGTGCGGTGCCTCTTTACAGATTCTGTACAGCTGTGGGCTGGGCGACATGAACACATAAGCTCGGTATCAAAAACGCTTCACCATGCTCTCTAACAAGGAGATACGTGTGTTCTGCTCTCCTAAGTAAGTTTACCATTTTGCAAACCCTAGAGAATTCCTCCAAGGGCCCCAGCACCCGAGTCAGCGGACTAGCTGGGTGCCTGGCCCAGAATGATGTTTGGTATGCCCACTTGGTTTACCCACTTGCTAGGGTTCAGTGTAGCCCCCCATATGCTTATTTCAGCCACGGAGTGTTCCCCCTTTTTAGGCGGACATGCGTCTTCCTTACCCTCTAACCAGCTTATCATATATAGCTCTCCCCCTCCATAGGGCTAGTCCATATGTTTTTATTGCATCAAGTTTTCCCTCGTTTGGGTAGCAGGAGGCCTCTGCAGCGTCCTCTTACTTCAGGGACCCGCACGCTTACTAACGTTCTTTCGTAAATCTAAAATCCGTAGACTATATTAGCTAGGCAAAATCACATTTACGACCCCCAATCTAAATTCTTTAAAATTATTCCCATGTAATGGTAATTAAGGGCTTAGGGAACATTGGAAGGTGGCACCCTTGGTGAAGCTTGTGCGCTCACGCTATGCTTGGCAAACTTCATATCAGGGGCATGACAGGCTTAGCTGCTGTGGCATTTTCTATACCAGGGGTCACCAAACTTGTTCCAATAAAGGGCAACACCTCAGATAATGAACATAACCCTTGTTCCCTGAATAAGAAACAGAGACGTGTGTCTCTGTTGCCACAGCATCTGAGTCTCCAGCTGTTAGCCGAGTGATCGGCTCTTTAGCAGGCAAAAATCTAAATGCTCACAAGCACCAGCTGATAAACTCTGTTAATGATTAATCACTGGCACCTGCGAAGCCAAACTAATGCTGCGTCCCAAATGGCACACTATACACTATGCTCTCATGCACTATGTACTTATGCACTTACACACTCAACAGGATGGTACATGTATGTAGTGTTGTCCCAAATGGCACACTAATGTTTTTTTACTAAGCGGAAATTCAAACCGTTTCTCTGATGACGTTTGACGGTTGCCAAATCAGTTAAATAAACGACAGAGTTATCAAATAATACCTGCTGTGAGTATTGCCAAATTCACCATCGGGAGGCGCTATAATCACTCTCGTAGGAGAATTTTGCTTTCACCATCCAAAATAAATAAAGTTATTCAACATGTGCGTCCGATTGCTCCGCCCCTTCTGCTACGTGAGCAAACCTGCGATCGTTGAGTGCGTGAAGTGTCCATCATTACACACTTCATTTTACCAGCTGAATGAGTACATCATCCAGGTAATTAAAGTACACTTATTATTGTTAGAGTTTTCAGTGTGAACACACTACTTACACTATATATACTACAAAATGGCGTAGAATAGTGCATAAGTATGCGATTTGGGACGCAGCTTCTGCCAATTCATTTGGCATTCATTGGTCTACTCTTCAGAGTGACTGGCCGTCTAGTCATCTCCCATAGTGTCTTTCTCAAGACACATGTCTTTGTTCCCTATTCAGGGAACGAGTGTTATGTTTGTAACTGAGACGTTTTGCTTAGGCTGCATACTTCCATACTAGACTGCATACTTCCATACTATACAGTACGCTAAAATAAGTATGCGAGCCGAGTAGTATGTCCGAATTCATAGAATTCGAAAGTCAGTATGCAAGAAGTACCCAGATAACTACTACTTCCGGTGAGATTCTGAAGTGCGCATCCCATGATGCCCCGCGAGCAAATTCAGGAATGGGAGTAAAGCGACACAACTGACGCAGGTAGGTCATGTGACCATGGCAAAATGCCAGATGCAGTACATCCGAATTTAATTCATACTGCTCACATTCATACTATGTAGAACGCACTTTTCTAACAGCCGAGAAGTACAATTCAAATGCAGTACCTACTGAGTTGTAATTGGTTTCGAACGCAGCCTTATTGTTTGTTAATATCAATCATTGGATTACAAGGACAGTTCTTAAAAAATGGAAATATATTTACTATCAATACACCCTCAAGTGGTTCGAAACCTTTATGAGTTTCTTCTGTTGAACACAAAAGAGGATATTTTGAAAAAAGTTAACAACCAGTAACCATTGACTTCCATAGTAGGAAAAACAAATGCTACAGAAGTCAAAGGTTACTGGTTTCCAACATTTTTCAAAATATATTATTGTTCAACAGATAAAAGAAACTCAAACAGATCTGTGAAAATTGAAGGATATGTAAACAATCAGATTTTTCAGTTTTAGGTGAATATCTCTTTAACCAATGGAACCTTACCATAAAGTGATACCAAAATATCTACTGTAGAAACTAAAAAAGTATCAAGCAATACAAAATTTACCTCAGTGAAGTCAACACTGGCAGGATCTCCTAATAATGTGCCGTCTATCATCTTATAGCCAGCGTATCGTATGAGCTGACTATTCCACACACGGAAATCATGCTGGCCATCAGCTCTTTGAGGAAACACAGTGATGGCAGACCTGTCAAAATAAAGATCTTTATTGCATCAACATCTCATCAATTTTGCACAGGCAATCAAGATTTCATGAAAACGTGGAATAACATTCTCAGTTTACCTCAGGTTGCCTCCATTGGTAGCAAACTGAATATGATCACATAACATCTGAAACATGTCCTCAGCAGTTTGGCATTTACGCGCATCAAACAACTGCACAGAAAAATACCACATAATATAAATCACATTTGTAAATACAGGTTTAATATATCTTTATAGGGATAGTTCACCCCCCCCCCCCAAAAAAAAAAAAAACATCATTTACTCTCAAGTGGTTCTTTTGTTGAACACAAAAGATATTTTAAAGAATGTAGGAAATGGTAGCCAATGACATCCATAGAAGAAAAAAACAAAAAAGAAAATAGCTTGGGAGTCAGTGGCTACTGGTTTCCCCCATTCTTCAAAGTATCTTCTTTCGTGTTCAACAAAGGAAAGAGACGTAACAAGAAGTGGAGGGTGAGGGTAAATAAAATATTAATTTTGAGGTGAACTATATATAATTTTAGGTTCAAACTAGATAAACTACCTGCAAATTAGCCCATTGAATTCTGCCAATGCATCTTGGAGCATTCCTCCATGCTTGTTTAGCCCCGAATTCCAGCTCTTTTGTGGTGAGTTGATATGATCCAGTAGCATCTATTTCCATTGCAACTTCCTCCACACGAGACAAGTGTTCCTCAATCTTTGAGCTAAAACCACATGTCATCCAGTCATAAAATGTACACTCTTCAGTGTCACATAAGTTAATTAAAAGCTTTGTTATGACATTACAGGACAGTGAAACACAAAAGTGCAACATCTTATTAAGGATTCAAGTGAACCAAATAAAATATCAGCAATCAGACCATTAAAGTCCAAACTAAACAACAAAAAATCTGAATATTTAGTTCTTTTTTCGTATCTATGTTGATTAATCGTCATATTTTGCTAGGGTCAGATTTACTTGATTTAGATTTTATGAGTTGTTGAATATGCAAGCTAACCTATATATTTTTTTCTTAAAACTGCTTGACTTTTTCTCATTTAGGGCCATGGACATACATGCAAAACTTCAACGTGCTGGTGTGTTTTGAAATGTCCAAAAATAAATTTTTGTCAATTTGACCCGCATCTCATAATGCTTTACAGCTACTTTTTCCACTAGCTTATGAAGCCCCCCTCCTTTTTTTCAATGAAGAATTATGTTTCACAAGCCAGAAATTGTGAAAAATGCATTATACAAATGTTGCTAAACCTATGTTGATTATTATTGATACTTTTCCTTTATACATTCTTGATGCTTTTTCTCATTTGGGGCACAACTTACTGGTGTGTTTTGAAATGTCCAAAAAATATATTTGTTACGTTTCTTGTGTTAGCTATTGTAATGCTCTACATCAAGGGTGCCCTTTCATGTAGGCATTTCAAAGTCAAATTCACTGAACCAAAAAAAGTATAATAAGAACAGAGGATGAGGTATTTTTGGAAAAAAATGTAATAATTTAATGATAACAAAAAGCAACAAGTCAATACAAATGTGCAAAAGGTCTCCAAAATTTGTCACCAAAAAAAGTTTTTTTTTTTTTTTGTAATTCATATGTTCAGAAATGTTTTTTGTAATGTTTAATAAAGTGTTTCTATACATAAAAATATATTGTTAGAATCTAAATTCTTTGTTGTTTTTCATCGAGTCTATTTGAACTGATTTGAACTGGTCCTTTCAGGACGTCAGCAAAAAATGAACAGAATAGAAAGGTTAAACTTACTTTTTAACTGACTTGTAGTATTGATTGATGAAGTCAACAGCTTGCACGAGGATGTCATCAGAACAATGCAAAGTGGTCATGGGACAGCGCGTCAAAGATTTTGGAGTCATGATTGACCCTTCACAAATCTTAGACGAACAAATATGGCTCTAAAATAAAAACAAGAAACTTTTCTTACTCTCTCAGAAATACAGGCACAAAAGCTGTGACTGGAGCAAGGTGTTTTCAAGGTTTATAACAGCAGTATTCCACTTTTACGTTTTGATGCTTGATAAAACTCTTTTGGTCTTTTACCTCTATAGAGAAATATATTCCTAGTGAGTGTTTAATGCAATAATACCTCACCTTAACCGCTCTGTGATGTAACACATCTTGATGGCACGAACTATCCTGATAGTTCTTTAATTGCTTAGAAAATGGGCACTGCTTGACTTTATTTTCCCATTGCTAGAAAACCAACATAACATTACTATTTACTTAATCACATTTAATTTCATGTTAGTTAAAGTTTGACTCACCATATCCGGTTTCATCTGCTGCAGTAGTTCGCTCTTGTGAGTGACCTGGTTGCCCATGTGTTTCTGAAATACTGCAGATCAGTTTCATCAAAAATTGCAGTCAATAGTTTTTGATGTTTGTCAAATAAAAAATAACACAGGAGGATTTAAAGTTTTAGCAAAGGAGCAATACTACGCTGGCTAAGAGAGTATAACGTGCTGCAATTTAAGAAAATACATACAATTACCAAAAAGCCTGCAAATTAAAAAAAGATCTTAATCCATTTGAAGATATCCTCACAACACATACATATTAAAAACTATGAAAAGACTATGCACAATGAAGTTGTAGGTGGTCTTTAAAAAGTGAGTTTTTTGTTTGTTTATTTTCACATCCTGATTTCCTTGTCTTTTGTAATTTATTAGCCTAAATAACCATAACAGAAATTGCCAGGTCGGTCACATTTTAGTGTCTTTTTGAAACATTTCTGTTGTGTCCCATGCTATTTGAAAGTGTTGTGAGAAAATGCAGTGCACTTTTGTAAATTGTTTGTGTTGTGAGAAAATGCAGCGCGTTTTTTATTTATTTATTTGCATTATGGGAAAATACAGTGCGTTTTTTAACAACTATGTTCGCGTTGTGAGGATTTGCAGCTCACATGCTGTCAAATAGATGATGATCTTTTCTTAATTTGCTGGCGTCTTTTGTAATTGCATGTGTTTTCTTTGCGTTAAGCTCTCTCGGCCACCGTACAATACAGACTAAATGCAAAAGAATTCATTCTGGTTGCTCAAAGGGCAGTCCTTTGAGGACATTTTTTACACAGGTATTGATTATTATAATACATTTTTTGTCAGCACAATATTCTTGACAATTCCAATCATTTGACCAATTAGAACTGCAGTCAAGAGTGTGATTATGTGTAGAGACATACAATTAAAATTTGAACTTTAGGTTGCTTTAACTGTAATAAAAGGAATATAAAAAGCAAATATTAAAAAGAATAAAACTTTTCTATCAATGACATTCTTATATATTGTACACTGTAAAAATGTTGGGTTCCACACAATTGATTGTGTAGGGACAACATAAAGGAATTAGGTTAAGTTAGTTTTTACTATTATAAGTGAATTGAAAATAAAACAATTAAGTTTTCCCCTAAAAACTCAAGAATTGTGTTGTTTTAGCTATTTTAAAGAAATAGTTTGAACAGTTAGTGTCATTCTTAAGTGTATATAAAAAGTTACTGTTAACAAAAAGTAAAAAACTCAAAAACAACATAACATATACTTTCGCATTACTTTCCTTAAAAGTAAAACATTGCTACACTTTAAAAAATCCAGGGTCCACACAATTCATTCATGTTGTCCCAACACAAATTGATTAAGTTAACTTAACGATTTAAAAAAATGTATGTGGATTAAACATAAAAAATTAAGTTGTCCCAATGAAATCTCAAGAATTGTGTTGATTCAGCTTTTTTTTTTTTAAATAACTAGTTTGAACAAGCAAAAAATAGCTATCTTTTAGTGTACTTTTAAGTGACTTTAGACTGTAGTATATTACTTTAACCCAAAAAAATAAACAAGAAAAAAAAAGACTAACAAAAATGAATGTTTAATATTAGCTTGTATTTTTTACATGCATCTAACATGGGTTATTACATGACATTATGAATTGACTGAGTTTCTTACCTTGGTGCCAGGTTCTTTCTCAGTCTGCAACAGAGACTTTCCCACTTGATGAAGCTTATATAGTGGACCTGGAGAGGCTGTTGGTGAGGGCAGGTCAAGAGCTGTGCTGGTGGTGGAATTTTGCCTCAAGGAGGGTGGGACAGCAGCCCAATTACTGTCTGACCACAGGAACATGATCTCACACCCACACTGAGTCTTCAAACTCTGACAGTGTGATTAATTGAAAGCGAAACTAATTACACAGGTTATCTGGACATACAACTGACAATGAATGGGTGGATCAATTAACAAAATAGGAAGAACTTGATTGTGTTTAGGGGATATTCATATTAAACCATTAAAGGCAATAAAAATAAAAGCATTTTTTATATCCTCTTAATTACCTTTAATTTTGGGAAAGAATTAAAATGTAACATTTGTTACATTTTGGCCCATTTTGTTTCACGTTTGGACTGTAAAGTGTTTTTAAAAATATATAAATTATGTTGTTACATTGTAAAATGCATTCTGAGGGATCAGGTTTGACAGCCGATGTCTGAAATACAGTATCATGTCTCCAAAGTAATGTAAATTTAAAGACTGTGTCTTTTGTCTAACAAATGGCCGGGAAATATTTTCAGGCAAGACCTGGAAACAAGATTGTAAAGACCCTTTACCTAAACTTGTCATGGCAGTTTTTGTGTCTACCATTTAGCACAGCCCCCTAAATTGTAAGTTGCAGGCTGCACTTGTTCAGATTTTTTTGATGAACGACACAGCAACAGAAAGTTCTCATTAAAGAATTCTGCTCTGAAGATACCCAAAAAATTCTTCTGGTCTCTTTTTCAATTCACAACAGGAGCAAATAATATATTTTTCCTATTTTCGGACACTGCATATCCAATTAATGGAGTAGCAGACTTCATTTTGAAATCTAATATCCAAAATGCAATATGTGAAATGGCAGTGTATTTCTGTATTTAAATGAGCATTTTCCATATATGTGGAAAGTTATAGGTGACAAATAAAATTACTGTGCAACCACAGTTACTATTTTACTAGTACTATTTTAATGCTGTAAATATTGCAAAATTAAACTGCAAATTTAGTATAAAATTTATTTGATGTGGTCAACATGTGCATACAGAAATGGTAGCGAAATGGTCGGTTTATCCTAATTTGGACTCTTAAGAAAAGTATAAACTGGTAACCATTGAGTTTCATAGTAGGAAAAATAAACACTATGAAAATTAATGGTCACAGGTTTTCAGCTGTTTGATAAATTAATTTATTAATTTCCATATATTCTATTTATACATGTTGTAGCGAGCCATGTAATACCACGTCGCCCTGGGCACAAATCCACACCAGCTGGATCTCTCATCAACCTCGGATCGCTCACAGCTGGACCTCATCAGCCAGGGAGAGATATAAGCCAGCCCCACACAGAAGGAAGTGAGCTTCATTACAGATGACTCCCTGCGCTAACGCTTGTCTCTCTCTGTCTCTCCCACAGCCGAATCCAGCTCGTGACCGATCCAACACCATCCCTCTCACCAGTCTTCACCTTCTCCCCGGAGCACCTGAGCACGCACCTCTAAGAAGAGCACTCATTCACCCCTTTATCACTTGTAAATAAAAGCACCCTCCGGGGCATTGTTTGTAACTTCATCTACGGTGTTTGTGTTTTCCCTCTGCCTCGCTACAACTGGTGGAGAATGCGGGCATTGCAGAGGGAAAAAATTCAGAAGAAACACTCACCATTAAGTAGAAAATAACCGCTGAATTTTTCTCTGTGTTTGTTACAGACAGGCATCCGCTCTCTCTCTCTCCCACGCTTCCTCTTACTCGGCTGTCAACATCCCGTCGCCATGTCGGTGGAAGAGGTACTGCTCCACCTAGCGGAGATTTCCAGGAAACAGAATTCCATCTCTGAGCAGCTTACAGCCAGACAGGATCGACTGGAACAGCAGCTCCGCCAGGCGGCCAGACACCATCCGACTCCCGAAGTGAGTGCGCATCATCATCTCACTAGACTCAGCGACCTGGATGATATTGACGCTTATTTACATACCTTTGAGGTTATTGCCGAGAGAGAAGGCTGGCCAAAAGAAAACTGGGCGAGAATGTTGGCGCCGTTTCTCACAGGAGAAGCGCAACGAGCATATTTTTCACTAGAGACACCTAAAAATGAAGATTACAAAGCGTTAAAAAAGGAAATATTAGCCAGAATGGGGCTATCCACAATCAGCGCAGCCCAACAGTTTTCCCAGTGGTCTTACGACGAGAAACAACCAGTGAGAGCGCAAGCAGCTCAACTTTCTCGCCTGGGAAGGCTATGGTTATTGGGAGGAGATCCCTCGGCGGTCCAGGTCGCTGAGAAGGTGATCATCGAGAAGATGATGCGTGCGTTACCCCGACGTTTGCGAACACTCACCAGCATGCGAAATCCTGAGTCACTGGCCACCTTGGTGGAAGCGATCGAGCTGGCTGAAGCTCACATCGCCAGAGATAATGGGGAGAGAGCGGCTCTGCCACCCCGGAGGGTAAGTGCGCCTTGGCGACCGGTGGAGGGCACAGCGCGACCAGGCGGCAGACCAGCGGTCCCCAGCCCGATGGACGAGCCGATGCCCACCGAGCCGACGACGCACTCGACCCCGGCCTGGACAGCAGGGTGCGCGGTTCACCGCAATATCCCTCCCGAAGCTCCCACCCATAAAGTCCAACTAGAGGGAAAAACACAAACGGCCACCTTAGACACAGGAAGCGCCATCACTCTGGTTCACCCGAAGACTTTGAAGTACCGCCAGGAAAGTAAAAGCCTTATTCCAATCACGTGTGTACACGGTGATACCCGCCACGTACCCGCCCGAAGAGTGACCATCGCGGCGAAACCAGGCAGCTGGCGCATTGAAGTCGGGGTCGTTCCAGATCTTCCTGTGCCCCTCCTACTGGGCAGAGACTGGCCGGGGTTCGACGAACTCCTCACTCACCACCACGCTCTATCGGCTCGTTCCAAGAAGAAGAACAAGTCACGGGCTCATCGGGACCGCAAACCAGCGCTGATGACCACCGAGAGCGACAGAGGGGGTGAGTCATCAATATCTGCTAATTTATACTTTGATCTATTTCAGCAGATAACCGCAGGAGGTGATTTTGGCAGAGCACAGAGGGAAGATGAAACGCTCAAACACTGTTGGCCACAAGTACGGATCATCGACGGTAATGAGCGACTTCCCAGCCCTCACCCCCTCCCACATTTCATTGTGGAAAATGGTCTGCTGTACTGTGTCGCAGAGAGGCGGGGGGAAAAGAAGACACTACTGGTCGTTCCGAGGACCAAGAGGGAGACGGTCCTGGAACTGGCACATACCCACCCGATGGCTGGACATCTGGGAGCGGCCAACACGGTGAAAAGGATCCGCGATCGTTTCCATTGGCCGGGGCTAGACGGGGAAGTAAAGAGGTATTGCCAGGCATGTGACATCTGCCAGAGAACGTCTCCCCAACGACCACCCCCCAGCCCTCTAATACCACTACCCATCATCGATGTGCCCTTCACCCGAATTGGTATGGACTTGGTAGGGCCTTTGCCGAAGTCGGCCCGGGGACATGAGCACATCCTTGTTATCCTCGATTATGCCACCAGATACCCTGAAGCGATTCCCCTGAGGAAAGCCACGTCATCGGCCATCGCGAAGGAGCTGTTTCTGCTATGCAGTCGAGTGGGAATCCCAACGGAGATACTGACCGACCAGGGCACCCCCTTCATGTCCCGGTTGATGGCAGACCTCTGTCACCTACTCAAGGTAAAACAGCTAAAAACCTCTGTATATCATCCACAGACGGACGGCCTTGTCGAGCGCTTTAACAAGACTCTGAAGCAGATGCTCCGACGGGTGGTGGCAGAGGACGGGCGCGACTGGGACCTCATGATCCCGTACGTGTTATTCGGTATCAGGGAAGTCCCCCAGGCCTCCACAGGATTTACCCCTTTCGAACTGCTGTTTGGCCGCCAACCCCGAGGCCTATTGGATGTGGCTCGTCAAGCCTGGGAACAGGAACCAGCCCCCCAGCGGTCGGTGATTGAACACGTACGGGACATGAGAGAACGCATCGACAAAATCATGCCCATCGTCAAACAACACCTGACCGAAGCCCAGCGCGCCCAGCAGAGATTGTATAACCGGCCCGCCCAACCCAGAGAGTTCCACCCAGGGGACAAGGTGATGATACTCATACCTACCACAACGTCGAAGTTCCTCGCATCCTGGAAGGGACCATACACCGTGGTAGAAAGGGTAGGGCCGGTAAATTATCGAGTCCGTCAGCCGGGACGAAGACGGGAAGAACAACTCTACCACATAAATCTTATGAAGAAGTGGGTTGCAGCTCCAGGTCATCTCGTTGCCTTCGCTGAAGAAACTCTTCCCGTTGTCCACATTGGTGAGCAACTCTCACCAAACCAGAAGGCGGAGCTGCAAGCCTTGGTTGGTCAGTTCAAGGATGTGTTCTCGGAGAAACCGGGCCGAACCTCCATCATCCAACACAACATTATCACTCCTCCTGGCACCATCGTCCGGCAAAGGCCTTATCGAGTTCCAGAGGCTCGCAGGCTGGCTATCGACGAAGAGATCCAGAAGATGAGAAGGTT